ACGGAACGAGTGAGTTCCGTATGAACGATCGGTGAGCGCCCCCTAACATTATATATATATATATATAATGTTAGAGGGCGCTCACCGATCATTCATACGGAACTCACTCGTTCCGTTGTGCCTTAAGGGCTCTCTCTCGAGCCCAACCAGCAGCCGCACAGCGGCGTATGATACATAGGCAGAATGGAATTATATATATATATATATATATATATATATATATATACATTATGATAGTGGGCGTTGGCCGATCAGGTTACGGAACATGCTCGTTCCGTTGTGCCTTGGAGCTCATACTAGAACCCTCGCAGGCAGTCGCACAGCGACTAGTAGTAGACATAGTTGAGATGGTACCGACAAAAACAAGGAAGACCGGAATGTCCATTTCTGGCTTATTAGCCGTCATCAGCCAGTCATACCCAACCCCAAGTATGGATAACTTGAGATTCGAAACCGGGATCTTTGGTCATGGAGTTTGAGGTCTACCATTGAGCCACGGGCCCGTTGTCCTGTCGGTTGTGATCGGGAATATTAATTATGATAGTGGGCGCTCACCGATCAAGTTACGGAACATGCAGAATGGATTTACCGACAAAGACAAGGGAGACTGGAATGGCCATTTCTGGCTTTTTATCCGTCGTCAGCCAGCCCTACCCAAGTTCGAAGTGCGGAACACCCGAGCCTCGAACTCGTTACTTGTTGGTTTAGAAGTCCACGCCTCTACCCACCGGGCCACGAGCACGTTGTCCTGTCGGTTTCCGAACGGGAATATAGAATGTTAGGGGGAGCTCACCGATTGTTCGTACGGAACTCACTCGTTCCGTTGTGCCTTAAGGGCTCTATCTCGAGCCCAACCAGCAGCCGCACAGCGGCGCATGATATATAGGCGGAATGGAATTACCTACAAAGCCAAGGGAGACTGGAATGGCCACTTCTGGCTTATTAGCCGTCGTCAGCCAGCTCGGGTGGTCCACACTTCGGGCTCGGGTACAACTCGAGCACAACTCGACTTTTCCGAAGAGCCTCTTATATTTTTCATTTTATCAACTCCGAATGCATACCAACTCTGAGCTACAACGTATATTCGGGCGTCAAACGCTTATTTTTACCAGACGTTAGGAGACATTTGCAGAGACATGCGATGACTTGCGAACAACTGACTTTCCTCCACCGCTGTCACGATCACGGTGTGTTACCGAATTCTCTTCGTTTCAAATCGACGTTGCCGAATGCGACCGGAAAACGTCTTGCGCACGAATACGGATGGCGTGTTTTGAGAGCTATAATTTTGGACGTTCACAATCGTCTCCAAAAATTCGAAGCAAAAATTACTGACCTAAAAAATCGGTGTGCTTCACTGCTATCTGAGCACGTATTCGAGGATGTGCAGCAAAGTATTAACGCCACCACCAAGGATGCAAGATTGAAGAAGAGATTTGATATTCAGGAGAAACTCCAATCAATTCTCCGTCCTACGAACCAAGGAAATTTGACCACGAGAGTTGTCAACCTATCGAAGAGGGGTCTCTCACCTGCGGAAATCGCCCTCCTATCGAAGGGAATACGATTTAATCATGCGGATGCAACACCTACCGACTGCCTAGCTGGACTTGAGTCCATTCTTCTGGCCTCCAACATTCCGCAAGACATGCGCACGAACATACGAAGCTGCGCCACCGGTATTCTCCGGCAAAAAAGATACTAACAAAATCTACCGGCCGAAGAAGCGCAAGCATTACGATCATTGAAGTCGGATCACAGCATTGTCCTTGTTCCTGCTGACAAGGGTGGCGCTACTGTCATCATGGACAAAGTTGAATACGATAACAAGGCGAATGAAATCTTCATTGACATGGAGGCCTATGCCCTTTTTGCTGAAGATCGGACTAAAAAGCATGCCGCAGCCATCAAAAAGAAGGTCAATGAGCTCGCTCGTTTGAAAGTTGTCAGACCAGATGACTCCAAGTTGATGACCCTCAGTGATCTCACCATCGCACACGCGTATGGCCTCCCAAAAGTGCACAAAGTGGATGTCCCCCTGAGGATTATAGTCCCACTTATCAGATCACCCACTTACAATATAGCTAAGTGGTTATACAGTCGTCTGAAGCGGCTCACTTATGGATCGGACTACAGCATTAACAACTCTCAAGCGTTCCATTGCAGGGTACAAGGCCTCAAAGTAAGTACCGATGAATGCTTCCTGTCCTTTGACGTCGTTGCCTTGTTTTCTTCCATGCAACACGATTTGGCGTTTGAATGCGTAACCCAACGTCTACAGAACAATCCTATTGAGATCCCAACGCAGCATGTTATAGAACTGCTAAATCTTTGCCTTAGGAACTATTGTCAATTTGATTATAGGTACTACCAACAGGTAAAGGGAACCCCGATGGGCTCACCAGTATCAGGACTGCTCGCCAACTAGCTTTGCAGCGACCAGAAGAGATAGTTTTCCAAACTATCAAGCCTAAACTATGGCTTCGTTACGTTGATGACACCTTTGTCATAATAAAGAAGTGCGAAGTCCAACGTCTTCACCAGAGACTGAATGACATTTTCCCAGCCATACAGTTTACCCGCGAAGAGGCAATTGGAGACAGCTTGCCGTTTCTGGACGTGAGGATACAGAAGTTGAGGGATGGTAGCCTGGCAACAAGCGTCCATAGGAAAGACTCTAACCTTAAGATTATCCTCAACTATGGAAGCAACCACCCTGCAGCTCACAAAAAAAGCTGCGTCCGAACTCTGTTCCACCGGGCCTACCGTTATTGTAACAGCAACGATCTCCTGAACAATGAGCTTGCTCACCTGTATCGGTTATTCCGCTCTAACGGATATCCGATCAGTTTTGTAAAGAACTGTCTCAGACACCAGACACAGTCGCAAGACGCCACCGCCAACGGAGAGATTGTAACGCGAAAATTCTTCCCCTTGCCATATATGCGTGGAACTTCTGAAATAATCGTCCGGCAGTTCAGCCGCTTGGGTATTCACGTTGCCCACAAACCGGCATCTTCACTACGCGCAGCACTATCTCGAGTGAAGGATCCCATCCCGAAAGAGCAACAAACGAATGTAATTTATCGCATCCCGCGCGCTAATTACTCTTGCGTGTATGTTGGCCATACAGGTTGATGCCTGGGCACCCGTATCAACGAACACAAACTGGCTATCCGTCGGCGAGACACCCTGTCCCTCGTCTTTGCCCATGCACTCGAGTACGACCACCAATTCAATTGGGATGGCCATGAGGCCGTCGCCATGGCTAACACAAAGCGAGCGAGGGAATTTCTCGAGGCTTGGTACTCCAATGAGGGTAGTATCAATCGCCACGTTGACTTAGATGCCTATTACGAGGGTCTACGTTCACGAATGACTGCCCCCTGCCCTAATTCACGCATCAACGACCGCGACTACAGCAGCCCGCATCCAAACTGATTCACCAACCACCCTCCCCCTCCAGCAGGATGTGCCGTAATTATTCCGCCTCCCCTCCCTTCCACGTTCTTTACTCAGGGACCTACCATGACCTCGGGAGCCCACCAACCCCCCTCCTCTCACACGTCAGTGGTCTGTTTTGTCCTATTAAACCAACTAGTCTACTGTGACAACATAAGTTTCTCCCTCGTTTTCTTTTCGTCTGACTACGGGTTGGTGGCACCAGCTCGAAAATCCACGAGTACAACTCGACTTTTCCGAAGAACCTCTTTTATTTTTCATATATATAAACATATGTATAAATAAATATATATATACTACAACTCGATTTTTTCCGACGAGCCTTCCATCTTCTTCATATGTATATATATATATATATATATATATATATATATATAAGGTGATACCGACAAAGAAAAGGGAGACTGGAATGGCCATTTCTGGCTTATTAGCCGTCATCAGCCAGTCATACCCAACCCCAAGTGTGGATCACTTGATATTCGAACCCGGGATCTTTGGTCGTGGAGTTTAAGGTCTACCATTGAGCCACGGGCCCGTTGTCCTGTCGGTTGTGATCGGGAATATTAATTATGATAGTGGTCGCTCGCCGATCATGTTACGGAACACGCTCGTTCCGTGATGACGGCTTTTAAGCCAGAAATGGCCATTCCGGTCTCCCTTAACTTTGTCGGTATCACCTTATCTACATATATCACTAGTCGCTGTGCGACTGCCTGCGAAGTTTCTAGTATGAGCCCCAAGGCACAACGGAACGAGCATGTTCCGTAACATGATCGGCGAGCGCCCACTGAGAACGTCATTTCTGAAATACTTCACCGAATAAACGCCACCACCAAAGAAACGGGCCGACCTGCATAAGAAACTACAATCTCTTTTGTGCACGGCCAGCGAGAACCGAATGTCTACGAAGGTTGTTAATCTTTCGAAAAGGGACCTATCTTCTACTGAAATAAGCCTCCTGTCTAAGGGGATAAGATTCAGTCACACCGATGCTGCACCTACGGACTTCCTAGCCAACCTTGAATCCCTCCTTCTGACTTCAGACGTCCCTGATGACATGTGTGCGGACATTCGCAGTTGTGCCACTGGTCTCCTTCGACAAAGGAAACATCATCAAACCCTACCGACCGAAGAGAAAAAGGCGTTGCGATCGCTCAAGACAGATGACAAAATAGTTATTGTGTCTGCTGACAAAGGAGGAGCAACTTTTATCATGGATAAGGTTGATTACGTCAACAAGGCAAACCAAATCTTCGATGACAGGGAAGCCTATGCACCACTCGCCGCAGACCCAACGAAAAAGCAAGCCGCTACTATCAAGAAGAAAGTGAATGAGCTTGCCCGATTGAAGCTCATAAGCCCCGATGACAGCAGATCTATGACCCTCAATGACCCCCGTATCGCACGTGCGTATGGCCTTCCGAAGGTGCACAAGACAGATGCGCCACTGAGGATCATTGTGCCACTTATTGATCCCCTACTTACAACCTTGCCAAGTGGTTATACAGACACTTAAAGCACCTCGCAAATGGATCGCAATACAGCATCAAAAATTCTCAGGCTTTCCTACAAAAGACCCAAGGCCTTGAAGTAAGTCCTGACGAATGCATCCTATCGTTCGATGTTGTTGCCCTGTTTTCTTCAATACCGCATGAACTAGCGATTGACAGCGTAGCCCGATGTCTAGAGCAAAGTCCCATTGGCATTCCAACAGCACATGTTCTAGACATGCTTAAGCTTTGCCTCAAGAATTATTGTCTGTTCGATGGCAAGTTCTATAAACAAGTAAAGGGTACCCCAATGGGCTCCCCAATATCGGGGCTGCTTGCAGAACTAGTCTTGCAGCGACTAGAACAGGATGTTGTGCACACCTTCGAACCAAAAATGTGGCTCCGCTACGTGGACGACACATTTGTCATCATAAAGACCAGGGAAGTTGAGCGATTGCATCAGAGCTTAAATAGCGTCTTCCCGGCTATACAGTTCACCCGCGAAGAAGCAACAGGAGATACCCTCCCCTTCTTAGATGTGAGCATACAAAGACTCAGTGATGGCAAACTAGCGACAAGCGTCCACAGAAAAGAATCCAGTGCCGAAATCATACTTAAGTATGGGAGTAATCATCCTGCGGCCCATAAACGGAACAGTGTCCGCACTCTTTTCCATCGGGCCCATCGCACCTGCAACAGTGATGACGCACTTAAGAAAGAATTGGCCTACTTACATCGGTTGTTCCGCTCCAACGGATATCCTGCCAGTTTTGCAAAGAACTGTCTCAGACGCCAGAGACAACTACCAAACCCCGAGTCTCATGAAGATAGAGCGTCACAGAAATTCTATTCACTGCCGTACATTCAGGGAATCTCTGAAGCACTCTCCCGGCAACTAAAACTCTTTGGCATATACATTGCCCACAAGCCCGCATCTTCCCTACGCGAGACATCATGCCGAGTAAAGGACCCGGTGCACAAAGAACACTTAAGTAGCGTCATATACCGCATACTGTGTGCCAACTGCCCTTGTGTTTATATTGGCCATACAGGCCGATGTCTTGGGACTCGCATTAACGAACACAAGTTAGCCCTCCGCCGACGTGACCCTCTGTCCCTCGTGTTTGCACACGCCATTGAGCATGACCACCGCTTCAATTGGGACGGCACTGAAGTGATCGCAAAGGCTAACACCAGACAGGCGCGAGAATTCCTCGAAGCTTGGCACTCTGGCACGACCAGCATCAACCGCCACGTCGATCTAGACGCTCATTATGAGGGCCTACGTACACGCTCACTGTCTTGTTCCCAAACCTAAACATTTGCTGACCCCCACTCGGCCACATAGACGTATGCTCTTTCGCCATTCCGCTCCCCCCTTGCGACACGGTGAACAACAACCGAAACCCCCCTAACACCTCCAACGCCGGCGCATTGGCCCCTGACCTCATCCCGCATCAGCGACTAGCCGTCCGCATCAGTGGCCAGCCGCCCGCATTCCCGCTGATTCGCAATCCCCATCCCCCCGCGTTTTCACCGCCTCCAACACTGGGAGCCCTAACGGTTCTTCCCTCCCCCCCCTGCCCCACGGACTACCATAACTAGGTGCCCACCCCTCTCACACATCTGTCTGTTTGTCGTTGTCTGTCCTGTCGCGCCTGCCGACCAAGTCTGCCGACTTCACTTTCCCTCTGTTCATTTCGTCTGACGACGGGTCGGTGTCACCGACTTGAAAATTTACGAGTACAACTCAATTTTCCGAAGAGCCTTCACTTTCTCATTATATCATCTCGGAATGCACACCACATCAGTTATTCAAAATACATATACATATATATTAAGTGAGCTAACTCCTTAAATATCATCCGAAATTTCGATATGCGATTTGGTTTCAAAAAGACTAGTTATGTAGGATTGTAAAACCAATCATCCTACAGCATAATTCTATAATAATTCATTTACTGCTGGGTGCCAGCTTTCCAACAAACATCTTTCCAGCCGCATGCAAAACCACATTCTGTGAAAAATAATTACTTAAGTTGCATGCATTTTTCATATTGACTTTCGATGTCCTTAAAAATTTAATTATATTCCACGGGAAGATGCACAAAAGTTTCACAGGAAACTGCATTAAAAATTTCACAGAAAAATGCTCATTTGTTAGAAAATTACGTCTTTACCCAATCGTATACTTGAAGAAAAGATTATCATTCCGATTTTAAAAAGTTTCTAACTGTGACATTTTTCAATTCCGTGAACTGCTCGTTCATAAAACGTTATGTCTCTGCATTTGCCAATGGCGCTTGTAAAGTTATCAATTCGTTACCGAATTCAGTTTTATCAGGCGACCAAAAAACAGCGCTTCTGAAAGCCCAGATCCTGCCCTGACTGGAATACGCCTGGGTTGGGCCTCATGATTGTCAAGTTTACAAGGCCTCCCAGTAATCCCTTCTAATCGGAGACATTTTTCGGAATTTCTGTTCACTTCTCATTGGCTTTTGCCACGCACTCTATGTCCTGCATACTTAGCGTGTAGAATCTTTCCAGTCTTGGCAAATTATTACTGTAATATTTCTCCATTTTCATGCAGTCATTTGTGAGCATAAAACCATTACTGAAAAAGACATGCGGGACAGAAAAGTCCGTTTTTGACTTGTTAACCGTCATCAGTCTGACATGTCCAGCCAGGAATGGCCAATGTAACCTTGCTTCTCTTTGCTGGTAATGCTCTTCTGCCTGAATTACGCGCCGCTGTGCGACCGGTTGGGGGCTTCGGAGAGAGAGAGAGAGCCCAGAGGCACAACGGAACGAGCGAGTTCTGTAACGCAACCGGTAAGCCTCCTCTACCATTGTTAATATACGCGATCGCAACCGACAGGACAAGGAGCCCGAGGCGCACTGGTTATTGTGGTTGGATTTTCAACCAACCTATGGTTAATTCGATCCTCGGGTGTTGCATTCCTCGGACTTAAGCATGGCTGGCTAGTCAGAACTGGCCATTCAAGTCTCTCTTGTCTTTGTCGGCAATAAAATTCTGCCTATATCATGCACCGCTGTGCGGCTGCTGGCGTGACTCGAGCGACCGAGAGAGGGAGCTGCAAGGCACACTGGGACGAATAAATTCCTTAACTTTATCGGTCCGCGTCCCCTTCTGCTCTGGGCGTACCTCAAAAATCCACGTGTCTCCCAGATCAGCTTCCAAAATTCTGTAAGATGGCGGTTTTTAATAGAGCCTTTACTAAACCGTGTCGACGATGTTCTCTGTTGAGATGATTTTTTCCAAATATAATTTATTGCACAGACGGCCGGATAAGTGGTGCGGAAAAAATCGACACGCTCTGGCCTGTTCAGTTCAAATGAATTGACCGACGCGGCGTCAGTGCAATCTAGAGTGCAAAAACGATGAGAATATATGTTGTAGCTTTTTAGTTTTTTCAAAAATTAACCATGAACCTTAGGCAGATCAGTATATTTAAAGTCTATGGACTCAGACCTTAGTTTTTTCGGTATGAATATTTGAGCCGAAGTCCATCAGACACAGTGGATAACCGTGAAATGTTCATTTACTGCCGAAGGTCTGCTGATAGCATACTTTAGGCTAAGGTGATTGCATTCTAATAGCATAGGTACTAGAAAAAAAACCCATACACGCGTGTTTCGCCGATATTCTAACGCTGCATGGAGCAGCGTCAAGCCCGTAGAACCTTATATATTGATCTACTCTAAGATCTCAATTAATTTATAAAGAAATTAAAATCTACAACTTCTAAATTGGGCTATCAACCAGAAAGCAGACTGGGAATGCTGGGTGTCCACTGACGATCCCAAACCCTCGCAGCTGTGTCATGCAACTACAGAACATCGGCGAAACACGAGTGTGTGGGCTTTTGGCTAGTACATGTGCTGTTAGCATTGGATCTCCCTATCATATCATTGTACCAGTCTAGCTAGATGAAATAAGTGGCAATTATACGGCAATAAATCGCTAAGGAGGGTGTGCAAACTTAACCTGTGCAATATGAATAAAATCCGCCAGTTAGTATGGAATCACTGCACCATAGTGACTGTTTGTGTTAAGGCACCATCTATGTGTGCCAGTTGCGGATTTGGTTTTTATCAGCCTGGCGATCGACCTCCTTTGCTAGTTCCGCCTCCTGGTTGTGCGTCACACCTTCGGGCGCGTTCGTATCCTCCGGCCGACCAGGGGCTGTCTACAGCAGATGACCGGCGAGCCCGCCATCTACTAAGCTGCGGAGGTCTTAGTGTATCTTGAGATGCGTTCGACCCCTGAAGAGCTTCCTACATCTTCTGGTTGCCGACAACTCAAAGCCGCCGCGGACCGCCGACTTCCGGGGTGATGCTGTCAGCTCCTCTCCGGACTGCAGTCATCTGAGCAAATCTACCGAGGAGACCGAGGAGGGGGACTACGTATCCTTTGCAAAGGCCACCACGGTGGACGGCCATTTTAGCTCTGAAGCAAGGGCGAAGACAAGTAATTTCGGCGTACTTGTGGTGAAGTATTGTTTGTGGACTGTTAAACAGTTGTCCTTGAATGGCTGTTTAAAGTGGTTGTGGACCAAAAATGGACTAGGCGGAAGATGGACTAGATTAACACAGAGGCCAGATGAGGTCGCGTATCGGCACTCGCCTTTGCGCAGGTCCATGCCGCGTCAGCCACTGGTGATCTCGGCCTCCTCCGATCGTCTGGACTGGATTGTGAGGAGATAAACTACGGTAGATATAGCTTAAGTCTACTAGCACTATAGAATAGATCACGCGAAATTCATCGTCTTTGCCTCCAACCTACTGTGTGGCAACGCTGGTTACGACGGCCGAACTTTCGAATACAAAGTCATCCGGGCTCACTTATTTTTGGCAAAGCACTCCTGCTTTATTGCCAGACGAATACGTTCCATCTTACGATGTTTCGCGTATTTTTTTACTACCTGCTCTCCTTTCTGGACATTTTCTTGCAAAATGAACATTCCTATTACTAAAGAATTGCATGTGGGTGGGCAGATCAATGAAAGAACGTGTTTATTAAGAATTCATGGCGGCCTCTCTGCTCGACAATTGACAACAGAGGCCACAGTATACCGGGCGCGTTTCTAAGCCACCAAAAGTGGCCACATGCAATTTTGGGAGTGTTTAGATGGCGAAGCTGCAAGCAACGAACTAGTAGAGTCACTTTTCTGCTTGCTCAATCGGTGTTTTTGTGTATGTGAATGCTAGGTACGGGTGGGATGTAAATGATCAACACATGCGGAAAGCTCACCCCACACACAAAACCTTCCACAAGACACCCATCTAGAGGACAACACACCCAACGGACACAACAGCAACTAGGTCGGGGCAGGAAAGCTCATAATTTTAACAAAATGTTTTTATTAACATGTGTCGTCCGAGTGATTCTTCCGAGGAGGCCGAGGAGGAAGACAACGCATCCTTTGCAAGGGCCACCGCCGTGGAAGACTATTTTAGCTCTGAAGCTAGCGCGAAGACGAGTAAGTTCGGTATAATTGCTGTGAAGTATTGTTTGTGGGCGGTTAAACAGTGGTCCTTGAATGGCTGTTCAAAGTGTTGGTGTCCCCTGAAATGACCTAGGCGGTAGATGTGTTAGATTACACAGAGGCTAGATAAGGTTGTGTAGTGGTTCTCGCCAATGCACAGGTCTATGCCGCGCCAGTCACCGGCGTCCTCTGCCACCTCCGATCTTCTTGACTAGATTGAGAGGAAAGAAAGTACGGTAGATACAGCACAATTATACTGTCACTCTAAACTAGATAACGCGAAATTCATCGTATCTGCGCCCAACCTGCTGTGGGGCACCCGATAGGCTACGTTGTTTACGACGGCCGAATTTTCAAATGCAAAGACATTCGGGCCCACTTATTTTTGGCAAAGCTGTAATGCTCATTGCTTTCCACAGCGGCCTGCAAAAACAAAAAGTCTGTTTTTGACGTTCATGAGGCTTTTCTTCGTCGAAATGGGTCAACATCCCCCCCCCCTCAGAACAAGCAGGAAATTGTTGGCACGGGCGCAGAGTAAGAAAAGACCAACCGTTGTCTAACAAAAGTGCACTTTACTGCCAGACGTATGCATTCCGTCTGATAATGTTTTGAGTATTTTTACTACCTGCTCTCATTTCCGGACATTCTTGTTAAAAAAAAGCCTTCCTCTTACTTTATAATTACGTGTGGGTGTGCAGACCAATGAAAAAATGTGGTTTCCAAGGATGCATGACGGCCTTTTTTCCCAGCAGTCGACAACAGCGGCCACATGCGCAGTCAAACCAGGTTAAAATGTTAGCGGCCCACA